CGAGTACGGACCGTCTACCGCGCCTTCAGCTTAGGGAGAGAGAAAAAAAGAGAAGGAGGACAAAGCAAGCAGGCCAGAACGGGGGTGGGGTGCGCTTACAAAAGGCTAATCTTCAGGGGCATCTCAACAATGAACGCAGCGAGAGAATTTGTCACTTCTACCCAAGGTTGATAGTGCAGTAGATGTTATGCGTGACCTTGGGCTTTAGGCAGGTTCCGTGCTCTGCCTTATCACCAGCTTCGAGACCGTAGTCAAGTGACCCTAACCGGAGACGCGATTGGCCTTAAACACGCATAGCGTCTACCCTGCTGTCAATACCGATTTAACAGGACAGCTCTTTGAAGGTCAGCTTTTGAACTTCTAAAGAAGCTCTCCAGCCCAAAAGTGGTTCTAAACGGAGCAAGTTTGAAGACAGTATGTTTTACTTCGTATAACCTAAATATAATAATATATAAATATATAATATAATGTAATGAAGAACTAAGCGCGACTATTTTTTGCGCTCGATGTACACAAATATATCTATAAGTATATAAATATATTTTTTATCAATAAATTTAAAACTGTTTGTACGCTGTTAGGTTCGCGTTTTTAAACTTCAAATTGTTTTACGAAAGAGTTACACGTAAAAGACACCCCGAACAGCACATCGTCCGAATTTCAACACACGATGAATCGCCGACGCTCGCAGACGGAAGGTTGCGATGCTGCGCGAACGGTTTCTGAAAGATGCTGGGTAGGGTAATCCGAGCGCAACGGCTTCGCGACCGTTCGAAGGGCAAATGATTCGCGACAACGAAGTAGTGTCTAGCAGCTTCAGTAAGCTAACGGGGCTCGAGAGTCCCACGCTCACATTTCCGCAGAGCGAGCGCGGCCGGCCAGATCGAGGCGCAGTGTGCTCTCGCGTCGCGATAGCTACGTCGTTGCTCTGCCTACCCTGATGACATGTGCATTGGCAGTCGAAGCAACCCTCTCGAGACTTCACTTGAGTTTAATATATGACTTTATATCGCGATATACTCTCGTAAAACTGAGAGTCACTTCGGTTGCGGCGTAAGCGGCGGCTTTATGTTTGTTGACACCTGCGTCGACAATGACTAAATATGCACAGAATCATTAGATATAAAAAATAGAGCACGCAGAAAGAAATACAAACATGACAGGGGCACGGACAAAGAGAAGACGTTAACGCTACGTATATATAAAAAATATATTGGAAAAGACAAAAATACTTAAATCTAAAAAACGGAGTTAAGTTGTCAACGCCGAGGTAAGGCAATGCGAATGGAGAGCAGCCGGCAAAAAAAACTGCAATAGTCCTATAGGCAGCTAAGGACGTATTTGTGATCGCGGTTATAAAGCGCCGGCGACGTACGCCCCATGAAGTTGACTAAATAAAATTCTCGCCCGAGCGAGCTCATGAATGACTCTTCCAATTTCCTATTTCTGCAATGCAAAAAAGAGGTTCGCGGGTCTATAGCCTAGGCGATGTAAATATCAATAAGCCATTGGTTATGGCAGTACCAATATTGACCAGCCTATACCAAGACATCACCAATATTAGAAAACTCTTGGCTTTGACAGTTTAATATTAACCAGCTTAAGCCAACGTATATTCAATATCGGAAAACACATTGGCTCTGAAAGTCCAATATTGTACAGGTTATGCCGGCGTATATCCAATATAGGAAAGCTATTGGCTTTGACAGTCCAATATTGGACAGCTAATGCTGGCATGTATCCAATATTGGAAAGCCATTGGCTCTGACAGTCCAATATTGTACAGTTTATGCCAGCATATATCCAATATCGGAAACCTATCGGCTTTGACAGTCCAATATTGGATAACTTATGCCGGCATATATCCAATATTGGAAAACAATTGACTTTGACAGTCCAATATTGGACAGGTTATGCCGGTATATATCCAATATTGGAAAGCCATTGGCTTTGGCAGTCCAATATTGGATAACTTATGCCAGCATATATCCAATATTGGAAAACCATTGGCTTTGACAGTCCAATATTGGACAGGTTATGCCAGCATCTATCCAATATTGGGAAGCCATTGGCTTTCACAGTCCAATATTGGACAGCTTACTCCAGTGCATCACCAATATTGGAAAAACATTGGCTATGATAGTCCATTATTGGCCCAGGTAATTCCAATATTGGTAAACACATGGCTCAGTTGGGCCATTGTTGGACCATTCTTTGTCCCATCAATTCCAATGTTGGCCCAATATTGTGTGCTGCCTGGGACATGCCAATGAATTAGCTTGACTGCCAATAACGGCCTATTCAATGAGTTAACTTGTATGCAAATGATGGCGTAGCCATTCAAATACTGTGAAAGCCAAAATTGGCATAGCCAAGGACAGTGTGGATGCCAACGATGGCTGAAATATTGGTTTAATGATGGTCTAACAAAGGTGCCAATGATGGCTGAAAAGTTGGTTAAAGGATGGCCTTACATTGGTGCCAATGATGGCTGGAATATTGGTTGAACGATGGACCAACGTTGGTGTCAATGATGGCTGGAACATTGGTTGAACGATGGCCCAACGTTGGTGCCAATGATGGCTGGATCATTGGTTGAACGATGGCCCAACGTTGGTGCCAATGATGGCTGGAACGTTGGTTGAACGACGGCCCAACGTTGGTGCCAATGGCTGGGCCAACATTGGAAGAAGTTGCGCTCGGCCGGAATACCAATGCTGTAACAACCTCCGGAGCCAGCGTTTGCCATTATTGGCCCAATGTAGGTCCAACATTGGTGTGCTGCCTGGGTATGTTTAGAAAAAAAAAACGCAGTCTAAGTTGTGACATTAAGCAATGCAAACCGTCACGCTTGCATTGCTTAATGTAACAACTCATAGTGGGTTTTCTGTTCTAAACATATGTTTCGGCATCGTCATTCGCTGAGTTGCCTCCGTGAGTTGCGGTGATTGGCTTTCCGAGTGCTGTGCAGAAAAGTATACGCACAGTCTTTATTTAGAGTGCAGTTGAATTCAGTGAAATACTAAAAGGTACAACCTGAATGATAAATCGTACAAAGGACATCTTTTAACGAGGGGGACTTGTGATTTGGGCACCGCACCTTAGGAGTGTAATTTTTTTCAAATTAGAAAAATCAAAAACGCTTCCTCGGAGGTATTTTTTTCCCTACATATTTAAGTTTTTTTTTTTTTAATCAATATTTGGTGCGAGACGTAAAAGCGAAGTTTATCAGGGTTTAGAAAGAGGAAAATACGACACGGGTATACCCCAACCTCGATAAGAAAAAAAAAAACAAAAAAAAAACACGTGGTAAGATGTGTGGTTTTGTAGCAGGAATAAGCATCTTGAACAGTCAATGCGTGCTGCGCTCCTGGAGAAGGTGCAATATAGATCTAGACCAGTAGTTCTCAACCATCGATATTTCGCGGACCCCTTGTGAATCGGCGTAGATAATGGAGGACCCCATTTATGGCGATGGGAAGGAAATGTATAGGTTCATTATTATAGTGCTTTGAGAAATGGATAGAAGCAAGGGGTAGTGTGAAGTAGACCTCGCTCTTTGACATATACACGAGAAAACTCACCCCAAAATTGGAACATTTCTTCACAATCTGAGAAAATACAACTTTTATTTATGGGCTTGACTGATGAGGCTGGGCTTCGCGGATTTCCAGAATGCCTTCGCGTACCCCAAAGGGTCCACGGACCCCCATTTGAGAATCACTGATCTAGACAAAGACTTACTTTCAGTCAGGCTTGGTTGTCCTTACATAAGGGCTGTTCCCGTTCGGGATTTATCGGTTTGCCTTGATCTCTTGGTATTTTCCGAAAACGCGGATCCCTACTCATAAAATACATCTTAAAGGCAATGAATGGTCTCATATGAATTCCAAACCAGGCATTGCGGTATTTTTTTTTTTTCTGTACGTTATAACTCGAACTGTTACTAATCTCCAGCATTTTGAAAAAAAACAACAAAAAAACTCAATCTCAAACAGTAACACAGAAATATAAGTTATAGATTGAAGATCCGAGAGTATGGTTATATTACGTATAGTTTTGAAAGCCGGGTAGTCAGATAAAACTCCACACCAGAAAAAAATAATAGAAATAAAAGCGAGTTCATCTGTGATCACTGGCAATGAATCCGGAGTGTTGAAAGATGAAGGCTGCAAACAGACAGCTTTCACGCAATGATTTCTCTGTCCATAGATGCGCAAACTCTTACAATTACGGGCTGCTATTTCTTTTAATACTTATCAGGTCATCCCAAGACATGTAAACGAGCAAGGCCAACAATTATAATGGTTCATTAATGCGATATTTGTTTCGGCCTCGATTTCCGGGAGCCAAATTCTCAGAGTGACGCCACACACCAAGGTGCGCAGCATATGGTGACGGTCACATGATCCAAAAAAATTGTGACGTAAATGTCCTAGAATTGAATTACACAAAAAGGTCTCCACCATGTCACCGTTATCGGGGCCTCGTGATACCCTCTGTGGTCGCGCTACTTCCTCTCTGACGTCATCCCAAAATCCTAGCTTCTACTCTATGGGACAGCTTAAGAACCGCCAGAGATTGCTTTATTATGTTCTCACTTTTCGCTTCGTGTTTCATTCTTTGCTGCTCATATCGGCTAATGTCTCAAGAACATTTGCTTTCTAGTGGTACCAAATTAGCTGCAACAACTAGGTGTATTCTAGAGTGCGTTTGTTAGGAAGTGACGCCGAACATAATATTAAATATGAACCAACGAAATCAAAACGTTGGTGTGTTCTCATTTTAAAAGAAAATATAATCGTTTCACACCTATTAAAACATTATTAATTGTTAGTTGTCAAAATGAACTAGACGTAGCTGCAAACGAATTCTGTCCCTACTAATTTTCCGAGTGTAAACTTCCCCTAAAAGCAGAAATTCGGGCAAAGCGACCAGTATAAAGTAAACAAACTTGCGATACGGTATCAGGCACACCAAACTTGCGGCATCTTACGTACTTGGTATGCTTAGTCGGATGTCCTCCCAGGAAGAAGCAATGTCCCCTGACCAGTGTCCCGACCAGGCGGCTTGTCCCGGTGACGTCGCTCGAGAGATGATGAACGGTCGTTTTCGTCGGATGGATGCCAAGGCTCTTGAGAACATAAATACCAATACAAATGAATCAATACCAGATTCCAGTCGCTTGGTAGGATTGCCCTCATAAAATTAATATTGAGCCACGTCAACCATACTCTTCACATGTATAATATTCGTCTAGTTCCAACTTTTTAGTATATAATCAAGAAACAATTATAAACAATTGGTTTTCCGACACGCCTATAGTTTTGGAACCCAGACGACAAGAAGGTATAATGAAAGTATCTAAGGTAAAAAAGAAGGGCTAATTTTAGCCTTGAGCGCATCTGGTAATTTAATAGGCCTTTTGCAAAAATCCCTAAATCCCGAGCGCGCCGCGCGGCGAATAATGGGAGTCGTCGGTACGCCCCTTCTCTCGCTACCACGTGACCACGTGGCATACGTGAGCAGGCGCAGGTTACCACGGTAACAACTTTTGAGCAGCCTTGTCGGGCGAGCGACGAGCCAACGGCTGCCCCTTTCCTTCCTCATCGCTCTCCTTTCTACCGGCTCTGTCGTCTGCTGCGCCAACGCTTTGTCGAACCTGGTGGAAATCTGCCACGGTTGCGGTGCAAAACAAGTTGATTCGGGGACACTTCAATACGTGAAGGTAAGTTACGATGAATAACGTTTTGAAATAAGTTCACCTGTCGCGATGCCTTTACGCTGCCACAGATACGGTACGCCGTCAACGACGTACGACTCGGCGGATGGGCGGGATGGCGGATGGCTGCAACAGCTGCTGGCGGTAACTGCCGGGGCACGCGCGCAGTCGCGGAGGCGCAACGGGAAAGCCCGTGATCTGTACCGAGGGTTCCAAAGATTCCCTGCCGTCGTGGAGCTCTACGTTTTGCAAAGGGTCTATTCATCACAGGACGTCTACCACCGTCAGTCGGTCACCTATTTTTTTAGAACATAACACTAAGACATCACTTCATTAAAATTAATATTAGTTTATACGCATGACCACCATATTCTTATCGCCTAGTGACAAACCAGTTAAATATATATTCGCTATCAAATATGGTAACAATATGATATGTGTTTAAGATTCGAGTTGACACATCTCGTCAAGCGATACCTAACTGTGCACTTTGGCATACAGAACATCTGCTAAATAACCTAAACGCCCCGGCCGGCCCTCACTATAGGAATCACAGGAATGGTGCTGTTTCGTATACCTAGCTATCGGTAATTTTTACCAATTCGATGGCTGCCCAGTTTTGAGTGCAATCTCGAGTCACCCTGAACAAGCGCCGTGTGGAGGCAAAGGACCTGACATATTACTTTTACAATTTCTCGTCAATGTCACCGCTTTTCACACTGTGCATGCGATCCACCCTTCAGCCTGGCTGAACTGCGGAAATCTCTTTTAATATTATCATTTTCGTGCAGATTCAAAAATGCTGATATTAAGTTACAAACGCTAAAAATGCTATAACAAGCACCTCTGACTCTGACTTAAATCCTGGTTTTGATTGTAGTCAATTTTCGGCTTTTTAAGCAATTGATCTTAAAAAAAAGCAATCACGAGAATGATACTAACGTGAGAGATTTATGCAGCGTAGCCAGGTTGTAAGGTGGATTGCAAGTACAGTATTCAAAACGCTGCACATTGACGATAAATTTTAAGAGGGATATGACAGGTCCTTGAACTCTACACGACGCTTGTTCAGGGTGGCTTGGATTTCACTCAAAAGTGTCTACAAGTTGGTCAAAACTATCAAACAATAATGAGGAGAAGAACCACCGTTCCCATAATTACTCGAGGGCCACTTGATTGCATACGCAAGAAGCATTGTAACTATTTCTGCATTTTCCAATATAGACACTGTAATATTGAATATACTGAAACTTCAGCAACTTGCACACCAATCTGTTTAGCAAGCTACGTTCCATGGACGTAAGTACCTGATCATCCTGCAAGAGTCGTAAGAATCCGTTTGCATATTGTACCATTTTTTGTATTTTTTTAGTCTTCTTTATTGCCACCTTTGCTGTATCTGTCATTTCAGACGATTTCTAAACCGATGCTTATGAACCTTATTCTTTCATCCGTAATAAACGAGCGGGATGCATTTACCTTGTGCTAAGACGCCCTGCGCACTACGTTTACCCCTGTTCTAATCGTCCGCATATAACCCTGGGCTAAATCAAATAACCGTAAACATGTTTATGCTATTTTACCTCCTGTACGGCGGTTCTGCAGCGGAGAGGCAACAAATTAAGCTGGAGACATTTCTTTTTAGTCGCTATATACCAGAGTCTGCATAATCTCTAATTGGTCATGCTGTGCTTGGCCAAGAATATTGGACTAGAAACTTTTCACCGATGTCGCCTTCTGAATTTCTGCCAGGCGAAATCTATATTAACTGTGGTATTAAAGTGAAAAACTTAGTAACACACCTCCAAGATAAAGAAAGAGGAACCAAAGCCTCAGATTCTGGACTGTTTCATGATGGTTGCAAAGTTCTGTAATTGCTGCCGGTCTTCAAAACCACACGAGGCATTGAAATTGTGACCATTTCGAGCTTGATAATAACACTATTTTTGAACCAACTTTTCGAAAGAACAGTGTCACCTAGAGTTTCGAATAAAACTTTATGAATATTACCATCGGAAGGACGAATGGTATCATGGAAGTAAGGTAAGGAAAATATTGCGCACATACCAATTACTGGCGATCTTCATTAAAGTAAAAAAAAAATAATTTGTGTTTGCATTGCATCCCACGAAGGCATGCATGCAGGCATTTGCAAGAATATACTACAAATCACAAAATTCGCTATGATCTGTATCGACTAATCATAGGATTTCCAAGCATGTGTGGTATAGGTTACAGTAGACATCCGTGAAAAAGGCATAAAAATAGGAAAAGGCCTAAAACGCAACCCAAAAAGTGATTAGGATCTCTACCTACTTGTAAGTTGCCTTGGCTTCAAAATGTGAGTAGATGTTGTGCACGAAGTAATGGGGTGCGATGTGGTGGCGGTCGCTCATGCAGAGAGTCCTGGTGTAGAGCGGTTCTCCGCCAGGAACGTACGGGGGATGATCGAGCCTGTCCGCTGTCGGACAACCGTCCGCATGACCGTTGTAGAAGTTGGACGGCTCGTTCATGTCCTACAATTAGGGCCAATATAACCTCCATTAAAGCTGTATGTTCTACAAAATGGCATTTATATTTTTACTTTGAGATATTCGGACACCTCAAAACTAACAATTAGGCAATCGTAATAAAAGCAAAACAAAAATGTAATCATTAAAATAAGTATTGTACGCATCATGTCGTTTTTTTCACAAAAACATTTTTTTTCATAGGCTTTTGTAATCGTTTGTGCCGAGCAGATGAGCACATAGAAAGTTCCTTTCCCAGCTCTATTTCTACACTTCATAGCCGTATTTAGCTTCTTTTCGGGCATTAACAATGGTTAGGGAGAGTGGCTTAAAATACATCACAATTTAACTCCTGCCTTAATATAATCAGTTCACACTTTCTCCGCAATTATAAGGAGTTAATGAACATTTGACAGATGGATTCTCCTGATGTAATGCAACCATCAAAGATATATCTCAAGTGCCACCCATACTATTTCAGTAAAACGATTCTTGTGGTATACGTTGACAGCATGAATCAGACTCATTTATTTACTGTTTAATAGTCCTCCTTGCTATTAACAATCATGATAACAAAATTATTAACAAATCGTAGTTCACGTAATCTGCCAAGATTATGCTAACGCGTTGAATTTCTTTGCACCCTCTGCTTCTTTCGAATCGATGATTCGCAAACATAAATATTCTGTTCTAATAAATTGCCGCATAAAAATAACCTCCCAAATAATCTTGCATTCAATTGAACTGAGGCGCGATAAGAGAGATTATTTGTCCTCTTATCTTCCACTATTCGAGATTCTCAAAATTCATTATATTGAAGAAAGTCTAGTAAATTTCTCACACCATATCCCAAACTTCGGTGGACAACAGAGTCTCGGTGCATGAACTAACACGATAATTTCAACTGAACAGCAAATATCGCAATGTTCCCCGGTAATAATATCGATGACAGTCAAATAATATATAGAGGTTTTAATTAAAATTTTGGACGGATATAGTTTTGATTCCATGGCACTAATCATTTTTTTTTCGTTTGCATTGAAGCTTATGTGTTACATCCGTAAAATTGCCAATTTGTGCATTTCTTGACGAAATATCGTAGTGTTTTCGAGCACTGTAATTTCGAGCCCTGTAAAGAATGTTCATGTTTCCTTTAAAGCTTTTTTATCCCACGGATTCTCCCAGAAAGTTGACCATGTATTAACAAGATAAAGAAATGTGGATGAGTCTAAGGAACTAGGGCCAATAAATAAGCTCCTCTTCAGGGAAATGGCACTTCAGATAGTGCGTTGCTTGACGTCATTGTTTGCAGTTAGTTATCTGAAGTTTCATTTAAGTTCGGAAAACAAAAACGCTTTTTTGTCTTTTAGCAATGTTAAAACAGTCATCAAAACCAAAAAAAAAAGCGATCTCTGAGCCTCTTGACACCATTTCTAACGCTCTAAAATTCGCATTTTTAATAGTAGTAACCATCGACGATTGCGCCTACTGTGCACCAGGGACAAAATTGACTGCGCCAACAAGGTAATCTTACTAAGAAGTGGTTCCGGTGGCTCCAAAAAGAATGAATCAGCCAACTCACAATCCATGCTCCGTCGAAAGGAACGACGTTATGGAAGTTTTTGAACTGCTGAGCCCAGTACTCCTCGGCCTTTGGGTGTGTGAAATCTGGAAACACGCTACTCTTGTCGTTCCACACCTGCAGCGGTCCATAGAAACAAGGCACATCGATCAATGGGTTTTTCTTCACAAGGTAACACTATTTTTGGGTCATTTCAGCTTCAAACTTCTGAAATATGAGCTTGCCGCCTGCATAACTAAGGCCTAACGTTTAAACCAAGAATAATTCAAGTGCACGCAGAGATAATGTAATAACAAACATTTTCAGATCTCCTTGATATCACATTAAAACTTTTATAATAAATTGGTGGTTTCAAGACGCCATCTTAAACGCAATACATATTATTTCATTTTTTAATACACTTCTCTCTGTACCCACATAATAAAATAAGACTTGTGCGTGTGACGCGGCAGGTAACTAGCAACCATATTTGTTTTAATTTCAACACATATTATGAGCTTAATCAAACAGATTGAAAAAAGAAGCGGATAACACACTGACACACAATAACAGGTGGAACGGGTTTCTATTAGGTACACACTGCTATTTACTGATACACTCACTGCGTTGTTTTAATGGTGAATAAAATTCATACCATGGTTACGGCCGTACGTAGGTAAAGTTCCTTATTAAATGTCAGTTGTTTTAATGTCTTTGTTTATTGGTCCATCGTCTTGCAATTTCTTTTTTTAATTTCGTGCGGGTATTGGCGATCGGTCAATTCAGGTAATTGGTTAAAACGTTTTGGCAGCTAATATTTTGTTGTAGCCTCTCCACACTTTGTCTTTATTAATGATTCAAAATATTTCTTATTTGGCCTAATTCTTCTTTCTTTAGCAGTTTCTATTTTGTGGTAACTGCTTGAAAATAATTTTGTAATTCTATCGTATTTTAATTGATCACTGAAGTGAAATAACCTAGTTCTTTATGTATATCATCTATTGGATCGTTTTCTTTTTTTGATTTTGCAACCAACTCTTCTGAATTCTTTGAATTCTGAATTTCTGAATTTTCATTTCTTGGAGAGTTTCAACTTTTATTTGGACGTTTTGGCACAGTGCTCGTAAACAGTTATTCAATATTGTATTACAGATTTTCATAATGAGTCATAAAATCATTTTATGTACACAATGGGGGCCCATCTCTTGGATGTGAAACTATTAGTATTTGATTGTTTTTGTTGCTATGTTTCTGTACGTTGTGCTGCTGACTGTACAGGGGGATGGAGCCCTGTCAGGCGATTTAAATCGCCCTTTGCCCCATCCTCCTAGACACTTGTCTGAATAAAGAATATTATTATTATAAGCCATCAATGTCCTAAATTTTATCCGTACTTGCTCTATGTAAGAGTACCGTTTTAGATTTTGGTTCACTTACACGTCAAGGTATTTTACATTTTTTAGCATATTGAACAGCTTGGGATGAACAGTTATTGCAATTTTTATCATGTATTTTGGTGGGTAATTAAGTTAAAAGTATTTTTCTAGGGTCTCTAAGCACATTATTTAAGTTTTGGAAGTATTTACGATAACCTGATCTTTACAGTGCCATTCAGAAATTTGGTGAATGCCTTCCTTTACTTCTCCAACGGCGACTTCATAACTTTTACGGGCGTATACAAGGATGGGCAAAATACATGCAAATATGTATCGAAATAAAATGACAAAATACTTCATCAAAAATGTATTTAATTACAAATCTAATTACATTTTCAAAAAAAGCATTTAAGTACAAGATACAAATACAACCAAATGTATTTAGTCTCCTTCAAATACTTTTCCAAATACATTCCTCAAAATTTGCGTCAGCGACTTCAGGGCACCTGCAACGGGTTTCTGGGTAACTGACTCATTTTAATTTTGCATCGCACACTCGGGAGTTAGTGTGCGATGCTTTAATGACGTAATAGAAATATAATCACAAAAAAATGTAATCAGCTTGGATGTAATGGGTGAAAAAAGTACAGAGCTTCAAGCATCAGATTTTTCTGTCGATTACATTTTGGTATAGACCAACAAAGAACCGAGACGTCCAAAACGCGCAGCACTAGCTAGAGAATTTTTTTATCGTTGTAGCTCGCACCACTTCGAAAATTTGGACGACCCGCGCATTTAGAATGTCCGAGGGAAAAATATGGATGGAAAGCAGACTGTAAAGCATCACAAGTTGTCACAGGCACTTACTTAGGCAGTCTGCCTGTGAACGTCGATTTTGTCGCTATTCTTGCCCTGGACTAGCTCTGTCATCACAAAGCCACTAAACGCTTGTGCTTGATTGAGAGACAGAGCATTCGGTGCAGAGCGTAGTTTTCTTCCTGCTCTGGACAGTGACAATAAATTTGAGCGATGTATTTTTGCCCACAAAATTGTATTTAAATACAATTGTATTTGAAATACCCACGTTTTAGTATTTAAATACACACGTCAAATACATCACCCAATTTGTATTTAAATACAAATGCAAAATACACAAAGTATTTGAAATATGTATTTCAAATACTTGTATTTGAAATACTGCCCCTCCCTGTGCGTATACAATTACTGTGTCATCTGCAAACTGGAATTGTTTGCTTGCTAGTTTTACCTGAGCAATCTCATTGACATATGAATTAAAACGTAGAGGGCCCAGAACTGTACCTTGATGTACTCCTTGTTTTACCCTAATTACTTTAAAATATTGAACTCCTATTAGCTATAGATTATATCTGTGTAGAAGATAATTTTCTAACAAGTCATGTACGTTTCCCCGAATCCCTAAGCTGTACAGTCGACCTGATGAAATAGAGTAATTTGTAGTTTTGAACTCCCGTGTAAAATCTTCAAAAACAGCTAACACATATTTTGTACAGTGAAGGTTTTCGTATACATAATCAAAACAACCCTGCAGAAAAAGTGAAGTTCCCATTTCCTTTGTGAAACCATATCGCGTGTCAATTATGATATTATATCTCGCGATAACACTCCCAAGTATGTTATTGATGTATTTTTACATTATATAATTAACTACCAAGAGTATACAAACTTGTCTATAATCAAGAAATTTATATTTTTTGCCCTTCTTGTATATTGGGCGAAAAATAGTCTTATATATTTAGAAATGATATCACTTGATAATGTGCCGATTTAGAGCCTAATGATAGCTGAATCAAACCTGTTTTCATAATGTGGATGTGGCATTTAAGGTACCTTGCCTTTATTTGGTCGTCTCCCACAGGTTCATTGGTTGCATTTTTTTATGCAATATCGTTTATTTTTTGTCAGTCTCCGTGACCCGTAATAAACAAAATGTAGTTATCTCAATCAATTTTTGAACCGCAGGGATTGGAATTATGGTAAATTATGACTATACTGATGTCCAGAGGAGCACATAATTATACTTATTTTTATAATTTTGTAAGGGTTTATCGCAGCAAATACCTTTACTGAATTGATCAAGTGCTTAAAATAAGAATATCTAATTGAACAAGAATACCAGCTGGGATCAGAGCAATCTATTTTTGTAGAAAGTCAAAAGTATAGATTAAAGAACTTTAAAAAAAATAATCGGCAACCACCTTTGCTTTTAACATCCTACAATGCATGAAATGAAGTGTGTAAGTAATCAATTCAATTTATTCAGAAGATCATACTATACAATTTTGTATAGTAAAAGTCACGTCACATCTTATCGCGAGACGTTAATTTTTCCGATAAATATAGCAGGGAAACTACATTGGCCTGCAGTTCACTTGACGTCAGATTACAAGATATCCACTCCCCCCACCCCCAATTTAGCAGAAAAAATGAATTGGCGTATAAGTAACGTGACGCCATGTCACGTGACATCAATCTTCCCGCCAAATTTAGCGGGAAAATTGAATTCGAGTATTGATCATGGGAACTCCATCTTTCCTCTAAACTTAGCGGGGAAACAGAGTTGGTGTATAGTTGATTTGACGTTAAAGTTTCCGCCAAGTTTAATGGGTGAACTGGTCTGTATGTCCCGTGACATCAGGTCAGGTGACATCGAATTTCTCGTTAAATTTAGTGGGGAAACCCAATTTGTGTAGAGGTCACGTGACATCAATTTCCCCGGTAACTTTCACGAGATATGAACGGACAAACGGACGGACGGACACAACTTTGGGATTGGACGTAGCGTTCAAAAGCATTTTATGCTTTAAAATAAAGACTACAAAGGAACTTCTATTATGGGGACTATAGCCCTGCTCTGTTCATAGAGCGCTTCAAGTTACGCGTGCATGTTATCTAAACTAAAGGGGTTGTCTTCAAAAGCAATTTTAACGCTATAGCGTTTAGGACCTCGTCTCCCAGAAAATCCGGCGCCGGCGTCGGATTTTCTGGGAGACGTGCAGCCGCGTGTGACGTCACACGCGGCTGCACGTTTTGCATTTCGAAATCAACCCGCTAAACTTGGCGGGAAAATTTCCCCTTCAAATTTATCAAAAAACTTTAACGCCATGTTTAGCGGAAAATTTTCCCGTCAAATCTTGGCGAAAAATACATTCTTCCAGATTTAGCGAAAATGGTTCCGACAGATTTAGCAGATCAATAAGGTTATGACATCACTACCACGTGTGACGTCACGTGACACGTGACGCTACCGGCTAGACCACGTGAACACTATGATTGCACGGCAGAGCAACGAGCACACGTCTGTATCAGAAGGCTTTGCAAACAAAACCGATCACGCTATCGCATTCCACTCTTAAAGGCCAAGCTTAAGCGTTCCCAAAGTTTTTATGTTCACGTTTTTGTTGCTCTGCGGCTGTGTTAAGTGCTTTCTGCCCCTGGCAGACGGCGTATTAAAGGTTCTTTTCACTAAGCTCCTTTAAAAAATCTACCAAGCAGCATGCGATGTTGAGTGCGCAAGTGGTACCCTATACGGCGCGCGGTTGTTCGCCGATTTTATAAACGAGCTTGTTTTATAGGCCCTTAAAATGTCCGTCTGACAGGGATATTATATTTACAGCACTATGAACCAAAAGGTTGGTTCCAGAAAACAGCTTTTTTTTCCCGGTAAACCACGTTCCGGGATATTGAGAATGAGTGTCCGCCACTTTAGCGATTTGCATAGAGGCAGATGCTTAGTTATTGGCGCCGTGTTTGGTGTTGTTGGACGACGAAAGCATGGCGAATGGCTCCGCCGACAAAATAAATCAGAAATTAATATAGTGGGCGTATTTTGGTTGCATAAATTTAAGTTTATTACTATTTGTTTCCTTTAGGAATCGCGCGGTCGGCATCTACTGGAGCCATTATGGCCGCCAACAGGTCCTTTTCGATCGCCAACCCATACGCTGTACGAATAAAGACAGGTACGTACCTAAAACCGAGTATCAGACGATGCTCCTTCGTGCCGCTGACTACTCCGGCAGATGCAGTCAATATCATGATACTAAAATACTCGACCGAGATAGAAAACGCCACCTCCGCGCATGAACAGATAACGTTCATCAACATCGTGTCCGGCGAGATTCCGAGCAGGAAGTGAGTCACGTGAAACCCCCCAACGGCTATTTTCGTTACTGACCTTGGCATAGACCACGCCTCCGGACATGTTTTTCACGAAGATGTCCATTTCCATGCCCTGGTCGTAAGGGGGGTACGTTCCGGGCGGCTCAGAACCACTCACAGCAGGATCCTGAAGGAAGCGTTACGGTTACTGGGTGTTTTTGGATTTCAACGTTGTTTCCCAGAAACGGCGCTACAAGTATTCCTATATTGAAATTACAAAACTTTAGTTAGGCCTAATATTCTTCATACTTTTACGACATCGAAGCTCGAGGAGCGTATCCACTCTGAGCTCCATTTCAACTCTGTTATATATTTGTTGAGCAACAAATGGGTGTTAAATATACGAAACTTTTCGTTATATTTTCTTCTTGGCCAGAACTTAAAAAAAGACCCCTAAGTCCCGCCGCAGCTGGCGCTTTAATCGTGTGCAGCCAATCAAGCAGTGCTAAAAGTGCATCGTCACGGCATTTAACATATGTGTGGGTTTGCAATCGGCAACTAAACCAATCACGCACAGTGATTGCCCATTGATTCTTCGCTTTTTGCTGTGGATGATTGGTTTAGCAAGGTGAACTCCAACCCACAAAGAACAAAAAAAAAAAAAAATAGCGTCTTGACAATGCACTTCTACCGAGGACTGATTTGCTCCATCCAATCATAGCCACACGAACACAAAGCAGCGAGCTGTACCATGTGAACCCTACCTCGAACTGGTGGCGGTGTAATTACAATGAAAATTAAAACACATTCGCAGCCGACCAGCATGTTGAGAGATTACCAACGTTTTGGTAGCGACGGTGTTTGCTGTATCGAATTCGCTCGCTGGAATACCACCTCGGTTTGTTCAGAGCCGATTGCGTGGACCCCTCTAGCAGACGCTGAAACTGCTTGCGTATGCTTTTGCGTCCCGCTGTACTAAATGTGTTCTTTTGACATGCTCCTAGGCATTCGACTGAGAGCTCGTGTTCATTTACATTATTTTATAACTCTCCATTGTTGCGTTATTTAAAACATAACGAAAAAAAAATTTACCTGAAATACTCATGTAGAAGTAGCCGCGCATTAATCAACCGATTTCTGACAGGTAGCTGCTTTTTTTTTTACTTTTTGCAACATCTTATTTATGAAAAGGCAGTGCAGAACATCGGTTTCTGTAGTTAGCTCTCTTCTATTAATCAATTAATAGCCGTCCTTTAAGAATCTGTAGGTTTCGTTTATTTTTATGTAGATTAATAAGTTTCTTGGCTATTTACGTCTTCTTCTAACAAGGCGTTGTTAAAGTTTGCAACGTGCAGGGCGCGACATTGTTAGCGCTAACAGGACATCGGTGCTTAATTTGCATCTTTCTCGGAGCACATACAGACGGGCACTAAACTTTACGACTTAGATTTCTGCCCTCGGCCTCTAAAACTCGTGAAACCCAAAGTTGAAGCCGAAGTTGACGGAGCGCACCGATTGCCTGTCACGACAATTAATTCTCGCTTTCTTCGCCGACTGGACTCCTCGAAAGCTAGGCTCCACCCTTGTGTTTGACGATTTTAGTGCCATTGAAAGAGAATTAAGCGCAACAGAGGGTATTTTTATATGAAATGTGTAATTTCAAGTGAAAAAGAGAAAAATGATGGCGGGTGCTTGTTTTGAATAACAAGTACACCGTGTACATAGGGAAATATACTTTTCGAGTCCAGGCCGATCGCAACGTCAAGTTTTATATATATATATATATATATATATATATAATCTTTTTTCCACGCATGTTTCACTTTCCACCACTAACCACAATTACGACGTAGTGGCGGCAACCAGCGTGCAGATCATTCACGAAGTCTGGGAGGCTGTTGAACCTTTCGTCGTCGTAGGTGAAGTCGTTCTGCCGTACCATGTAATCAATGTCGTTCCACTGCGTGTCCTGGAAATCAAGAAACATATTCCAAGATACTTGATTTCAATCCCCCACAATTTTACCGGTAGACCACAACTGGGTATGGTTTATCTCTGACATATCAAAATAAAACACGAAATTATCAAAAGCTTATCCTTCTTACAACGGTTAAACCAGCTGAACTACGAAATTAGGGAGAAAGGAGTAAAGACAGGTGATCGCTGGACTACCAACTATTTAATAAAAATTCTTCGTTTTCCTCTCTTTGTCTACTGGCGTTGTGGCTACCTTCTCTTCTTTCTACTTGATTTTTCTGTTCCATCTCGGATACTGGTTTTCCGGAGGAATCTTTTTTCGCTTTCCTGTAGCACAATAGATGGTGTACTAACGCAATTTTCTTCTTTATCTTCTATGGCCAAGGCCTCAAGTATTTCACGGGCGAGCTGGTCTTTGTGGTGAGCTAGTATGGTACCCAGGTCGAGCTTGGCCTCGCACGTGCATGCTCGACAATGAGCGGCTAAATGCCCCGGCCCTGTTAGGACTCTTATGTTTGCTGCGTGCTCACGTGCTCGATCGTTCACGCACCTTCCCGTTTGTCCAATATACACACGTGGGCAACGAGAATCTCCAGCGAACGAGCGAATAACCCGAGCACTATGATATCGTTGCAGTGCCGATAAGAGAGGAAAAAACTTAAGGGGTGGGAAGCTCCCGAAGAAAGAAGCAGCCACGCTGAGAGTTCTGTATGCGCTGTGTTTCGGGTTGTATTATTTCCCTTGTCGCTGCTCACCTCCCAGAAGCCTACAACGCACTCATTCAACAAGGAGTAGTCATTTACTGAAGGCTATCGCCCCGCGTTGCAACTTAAAAAGCCTCTCGCGCATAGCCTGCTCAGGCCTTTTCCCAGTGGCGGAGTGCTGCTTGCGTGGCAAGTTGCACTCGGCTGCCTCGAGGAGCATATGAACAGAGACGACTAAAGATGCGGGAGACCTGGCCGGACGCTTTGGAGCTCCCAATTGACCACAGGGTCAAGGCTAAAAAAACAGTACTTAAAGATGCATTTTTCGGAAGCTTGAGTTTTTTCCTTATTCTAAAAAAGCGGAAATTTGAGATTTATTTTATTTTTCTAAGATTTTGCTAAAATTGGCTCGGAGGATATTTTGAGGAGTTTATTGATAAATTTCTGAAGCAGGAAATTTTATTTACAGTAAACTTTTGTTCTCATAATCGCCAAAATTATCGGTCAGTAACCGCCCCGCAGGACATTTTGTCTCGCTGAATAAATAAATCTTCATTTCAACAAGCAAAGACAGTTATTCTTTTTTTTTTTTTTTGAAGTAAGGTATCGTAAAACCACAAGGTCTCATCGAATAATAGCCTAAAAAAACTGGAGCGCATATTTTGCTTCTTGTTTTTTTTAATGCGGGGATCTTCGTACAGAAACCCGTTTAGAACTTGCATCTATTTAAGCCATTAACGAGCTAGCGACGAACTATGGAGATTGAATACACTGCGCAAAAGAATAAGCTTTGTATCCAAGGGCGATAATACCAAAAATTATGTTAGAAATCAAAAAAGCGCTTTGGTAATTGTGTTAAAAAATGTTGCAACCCTGCCGGCTGCTTCTTCAAATATTTCGTTGTTCAACCCATTCCTTGATTATAAGAATTTAGCAATTAATAAGTATCTCTCCGTACCGGACTTCTTGCGCACAGTTTTTATACAAGCTTTGCTACGGAATTGTCCGACACGCATGCATAACTATAAAGCTACAAAGGGTCAGTTGAACCTATATCATTGTAATGCCTCTGATGTAGCTCTGTATAGACGCCGGCCTAACTAAAGAACACCGAAAAGGTAATTATACTCGCTGAGCTTTTATAGAAACTGGACCAATCAGAGCCACACTACTCAGAACATAATTTGCGGCTCGAAATTTGTTATCTTTCCGCCCGTAAACAGCCGGTCGAGAAAGGGCTGGTTTCAGTCGCGCTCACCCTCTCTTCCGTGGTAACGTCGCGTTCAAACTATGTGCACTAAATACATTCAAAGTGGTGGCTCTTATAAAACAATTGTAATATTAAAAAGAACAAAGTTGAGCCATTTTCTTTGTGACCCCCAAAAACTGCAAATAAGCTATTGAAAAAAAAAATCGAAAAGTCTCAGGAAGTACATTTATACGTCATTCACAACGTGCCGCAGGCTGGACGAGGGAGTGCCGGCACAGGACGGGCCAACGTGGGGGACGCTAATTAGGAAATGTCATTCGTGGTGCCAGCAAATCGATCCTCAAGCGCAGAACGCCGAGCGGGAGGCATGTAAGTGCGAAACAATCACACTACACACCGTGCACGTAACTTCGTCGTCTGGTTCATACGCCAAAAACACGGAGAATTAAAAAAGAAATGACATCTGGTATTACGGCGTTTTTAGCCACGTGACTTCCGGCCATAAGCTTCCGTGCTCGTGTAATCGTTTCCGTTTCGAGAAGCTGAGCATTTTTTTATTAATAAAAACATACATCAGTCAGGTGTAGTGTATTAGTGTACTGTAGTGTATTAGACATTAAAAAAAAAATCTGGGGGTGGCACTGTTCCGTCAAGAAACGTGGAGAGGGGCCTATTTTAATCACCTCTCTTTCTGATTTCTTTTTGAGAACTCTTCTCAGCTAATGCCTCAATGGAATTTGCAGGGGAGCGATTACAGAATGCTCGGCACTCGCCAAGCACTGTGTTTATTAAGCACGGAATGACTACAGCACCAAAAACAATTATGCACATTGTGGCCTTACATGATAGTCTGAGAGTCTCCACGGCGCTGAACCACCAGCTTGCCGCTGCTTTTGCACAAACCGACGACGTACTGACGGTCGCCCGAGAAAGTTCGGAAGGGGATCATGGGCACGGGTGGAATGAATCGCCTGTGAAATGGATCCAGCACCTGCAACAAGCCATGCACCAATCTTTGATGAACCAAGAACGTAGGCACTGTTTGGTAATGTTCATGCAGCAATTTATTTCTTCAAATGTGACTGACTGTATTTCGTTGAATTTCCTGAAATCGTTTAATACACATTTATGCGTATCTTTCTTTTGGCAAGCTGAATACCCTTATTTCAAGTCTATATATTCGTTTGAGTCAATGCCGTTTCAACAAACCGAGCACAATTCATCATATTTCTGTTCTATGCATTCATACGTGCGCGCACACACACACGAACTCCGAGAGGAAGGCCACGCATTTATTGCGCTGAACATATTTAGATGATTATATCATCTGGACGAGATGATTACATATAGTGTGACCTTGCGCGTTTGACGAGTTCAGAATGGCCCCATCGTTTGTGCTTTACTTAATCTGAAACGTCGTGCATGGGCCCAATTTTAGGACACCGTCTCTATATCAGAGACCTTTCTACACAACTTTCAACCCCAGAGTGTTTACACATTAACAAGTAAGTCATCTTCGGTTACAAAAAAAAAAAAAAAAAAAATCACCATTATATATATGCTTTATTACATTATCAGCCTGCAAATATTTTAATTACAAAGATAGCTTAAAAAACCAACTTTTACGAATACGAAGTTATTAAACTATCGCCGCGAATACACACCTGCGCGTCCTAGAATTTTGTTCTGCGCCATGCCTGATTATTTAAATATATATTGAACATCAATATGGCTGACACACTATCACGGAATATTGCCAATCATTCAGAAATATTGATGTGAGTTGTGCACAAGCTACAAGAACAAAAATATTTCTTTCGCTTGTCTTTATATCTAGAATAGCCAGTACAATTTATTTTTGCTTTAAAGCAACTTAGTATATTGTGCTGCCACATGAAACCCGAGTGTTACACTAGCACCATTTTTTACTTTGTTTCATTCGAAGTACAAGAAGAGTGGAATTCATTCTGCGAGTATTACCGCTCACCTCTTTGTTTATGCGCTAGTTTAATATGTTGCTTAGGTACCAAGTGGATTAACTTATCACATGATTAAAGCAACTTTTGTATGAATTTAAACCTTCCACTCAAAGAACAGATTCTCGACTGTGCTGATTTCAATAAATCCAGGACAATACCTCGAATGCATTTTAACATTAATGAAGTTACCATTTTTTAGATGTGAGCGTTTTGCAAATAGACGTCTTCCAAAATTTGAAGTTGCCCATCGCGGCGAAATGACACGCGGTGCACCCCGGGAACTAGTTGGCCACTCAGTATCGGTTTCGACTGAGCAACTTCAGTTCGTGCTATCAAGCCGTAACCGAATGCGTTGCTTGCGTTTTCGATTCTCTGGCTTCCCACGTATGTATAATACTCTCATTCTTGAGCAATATATAAATGAAAGATCGGGGCAATTTTCATGCTTCCGACATGCCGCATATTGTGTGTGCGTATGCAAACGCAGAAGACGTGTCTTACCTCCCCTCACCCACCGATTGTAGCTTTGAGATCAATTACAATAATCCTGTCTAATACGTTAGAACAACAATTCATATTTGGTTGCTTTAAGCCCTACACATATTTTGTTTGCCAACGTCCGTGTTTTGCTACATGACTGGGCGAAAAACAAACCATATCCTCACAGGAGTCTCAACATTGAGCCCAGCGTTGACGCTCGAAGTTTTAAGGAAGCGAAATAAATTTGTCCTCTTTACTGCACAAAAAATACTATCAAGTCTTCCTGGTATCATCATATATTTCTTACTGAAATTGTATACTGATTAGAGATTACGCTTTCGCAAACGCTGAAATTGGCTAGCTACGACGGAGACCCAACAAGCGTTCCCAACTCATCGCCTAGCCTTTTGTGCGAGCTTTTACTGACGCCCAAGATCTGAACCGGAATGGTATGTCTGAAATCATTTCGGCATACTCAATCAGAAAGAAAGGAACCACATAACAAACCTTACAGTCATTAGCAACATTCAAGCGCGCTTTGAATCCTTTAGTTCGTTTCGCGCAGAGCCTAGTTTAACGCCCGTCTACATGCCGTCCGGCGAACGGCGCTACATTAATCAAGCAAGTGCTCGACCACTGTTTTCTTAAAAACGGGTTTGTATATGCGAATGTACCTATGTGACTACAAGGTAACTTTATGTGCATACGCGAAATTCAAGTAGTAGAATGCAAGCGGGCCGGGAGTTCATTCCTTGCAGTGCTGCGGGTCAGTACAGATCGGAGATAAAAAGTGTGTTCGATTTTAGCTTTCAATGGCGTCTCCGAGTTTTACCTCGAGTACTCAGGCGTATTAAAAAAAAAGAAACACTAATTGCAAAAAGGTAGTCTTCGTCAATGGACGCAGAAAAGAAGTAAACTTTTCGACCAGCAACACTTCACTCTAAAAAATTCCTGCGCCCACTTACCCGCAAGACGATCAAATAGCCAATCTCTCTAATCCACAAAATCAGCTCAGCGAATAATGAGGCCATACATCTGTTTTGACCTCAAATTAAGTCCAAGCTCTCGCATTGCGCAATGCAACCATGACGCTTTATATTGCGTAATGCCACAGCGCAGACTTCATTTTTATTTCTAAACGGATGTTCCGCCTCATCATTCGCTAGGCTGATTTAGTAGACCGCAGAGATTGACTTTTTGAGTGTTTGGCGGGTAAGTAGACGCGGAGGCATTTCTGAGAGTGTGATGTAAATGTGCGAGCTCGGTGTACACGTACTCAGCCTGTCCTCGTACACAAGCAAAATCCCCGAGCTTCGCAGCGTCGAGATTTCCAGCACAAGCTCGTCCACATACCTTGAAAAGCTAACAGAAGGGCTCGAGTACTGAAATGCAACAAGCATGTGTGAAGACAAACTTTTCGTATGGTTCGAGCTTGTGCTAAATCTCCGAGGGTGGGCCACTTAGGTAAGTTTTCAGAAACAAAACGATGCGTCCGGGACCAGAAAACACAAGATAACGGTTGTGAATAGATCAAGGTCTTTGTATGATCTCTTGCCGACGTGTCAGTCGAAACCGAAACCATGCTACTCTCTTCCCTGGTCATCTAGTTCCCAGAGTGTAACTCCCACAATGTTGCGTGCAGGGTTTTATGAAAGTAGTCTATTACATCTTATTCTGATATATTTCAAATCATATTTCCACAGTATCATGCATTCAAAATATATATGCCATATTCACCATACACTCGATTTATGCCTTGAAACAAAAACAAAAAAACACGCAAACTGTGTTTCAGAAAATACTTTTTTTGCAAGTCTGTTACAACATTTTTGTCGTCTTCAAAATTCTAAGTCCCACTAGGGAATACATCTGCGGCTTCTTGACATTAAGAAATAAATTGCCAAAAAAAAGTGAAGTGCGAATGCGAAAATAGTGTTTAACCGACAGAGAAAAACTTTATATTCATAAGAATGTAAAACATTTGTTTCAGAGACCTCCATCCACAAGTACATATGTTTAGCACCCTTAATTGAAGTTATACATGTTTTAGCCGTAAAATAGAGTACTCTTGCCTTGAAGCACCATTTATCCTCGAAGGATGTTAAAGGGGTTTGGAACGAGGGGCTACGGTGACATGAGGCGAACACCCTTTTTGAATGGTGTTCGCCATTCAAAATCATTTTCAGGGGGGGGGGGGAGGGGGGGGGGGGGCGGGTTAGTGGTTATTAAAAATACCTCTTGCGTGCATGAATGTTTTCCTCTCGGAGATACATTCCTTGACTATACATATAGTATTCATTACGAAAATTGCGGAGGAAAAAATTAGTATATTTGTAACCTTCGTAATTGCAGAGGTTTCGTTCAGATAAGGGTTTCTGAATTGTCGAGTATATGAGGTGGGGGAGCAGCCAACACGTTCTTTATTTGACTCTTGTGCGTTATTTAGTGAAACAAAATGTTAGCTGGGCTTCTTGGTTCATGACTGGAAATAAGCGCCAAAGGAGCGGGGACAGGTGAAGAAGTGTACGAAAACAAAAGGCGCTCACAGTGCGCTAAAAACTAAAATCACACAAGACGGGGGCCACTCGCGAACCAAAGCAAACGCCCTGTTGTTGTTCAGTTCTTTACTTGTCCCCGTTCCTTTGGCGCATATTTCCAGTCGTGATTTACTGTTTGTGTACTGGTATTTTCTGTTTATGTGAGCACTGAATATAGTTGTAGTTGCTTGTAAACTGGTATCTTGTGAAAGACATCGTTGGACGCTGCTAAAACCGCCAGCATCCTATTTTAGGGTGTTCGCCTGCAGTCTAAGGTATTGGTGTAACACTCTTAGAGACATAACCTTTCAAGAAGTTAATTTAGACCCCTAATGATGTAAAACGTTTTAGTAGGAACGAGTGAATATTCGGAGATTACCCTGATTCTGAGTGTGTCCTGGTCGTAGAAGAGAATCTCTACGTGCGCAAATGGCACGTCCACGTCGATTCCCGATGGCGTTCGACGCACGAGCATAACATCGATCCTGTCGTCGGAAATCTCCGCATTCTCGACGTAGTAGCCAGTGTAATTTATCGGGAAGTAGCAGTACGGGATATCGAGCTTCCTTTCACCGGGAATTTCGTCCAGTCTTCCCCAGCAGCACCCGCGAGAAAGACAGCCAGCTTCGTTGGATCCGGGTTCTGGATGACAGTCGAAGCGCTCCGAAAGCTTCCCCACTTGGCACTGTGCAGTGTCTCCTGCAATTATATGATCATTCTATAGCCATCGACAGACCGAGAAACGCAGTGTGTGCCATCTTTCGTGCATCTTATTACGCAACAGCCAATTAGATTGCGACATTAGTGGGATAACAACACTGAAAAAAAATCAGGAATCAAGAGATGTGAACGTGAATGCAATGTCCGGCGTCTGATAAGCTCTCAATCCTATAGTTGAGACCTGAAAGTAACACAAAACACAACAGAAATCTCGTTTAATAAATAAAACGAGGACCTGATTTTAGACTGCCTTGTTTTAAATATCTGGGCCCCACTTACATGGTGCATAAAACAAGTTTAATGTTACGTTTATTCACGAAACCGGGTATGATATTGTCTAGACAAGGGTGCTTTGAGCCCACTTATGTTATAAGTAGCGTTTTTGAGCTGTCCAGATATTGTCCCCCCACTGTCAAAATGTAACAGCTTTGTGCCTAGTAGCACGTCACTAGTATGAATGAATACGACGTTCTTACCCTGCAAAACCTGTGGTCGATTCCACATAAAAAATCTAAGCCACACTCAACCAAATAATTTCCGCATATAAGTCCAACAAATGCCACCTTGTGGTCATACATTGAAAAAAAAATATATTGACCATCCTTCACCCAAGCGGGGACCAGTGTACACAATAGATGTTATGGACTACGCCCATTGCCAGTCTGCGTATTGTGAGCTGCATTTTTGGGAACATGCAGACTGCCCTTTAAGGCCGCTCGAAAGACTACCAGCTTCGAGTTTAATTCGTGTCTCTAAAACTCCTCTGCACGAAACAAAAAACGTGCTGTCTTTTTTTCTTTCTTTTTTTTTTTTTAAGGCTGCCTTTGCTTTTGCTGGGAGGGATTTGCCTCGAACCAGGCTGACGAACGCCCAACTTACGACTTTACATATCGCTAAACAAACACTCTAAATTAAATCAAGTCACTCCTCCATTATAAACTACCCAGCATGAAAATAAGAGTGTTTGATACGGTATTTTATATTTAGAAGGCGTTTAAAAAGTATGATTGAAGGACTTTTCAGTGGAACGTTTCGCACTCTCGCGCCAATGGAAACGAAAATGAGAGCGCCGCCCGTCATTCGGAGATTTTCCGAGGTGCCCATGCTTCATTCAGTCTTCTATACGTGTCTTATTCTCCGAGTTCGGGTCTATCGGCATTTGACTCAAGATCCGTCCAAACGATTCGTTAGATGTGGTAAAGAGAACCCCGAGATGTCTTAACAGCCCCTGAGTACGCCTTTGCAGCTGCCCGAAACGAAGGAGGTTTAAGAGCGACCTCCACACGATGAATGGGTTATTTTACAGCACAGCTCTTAGGCGCCTGTTTCCGGCTTGAGCGACGTCGGCGTCGACGTCGCCGTCAGCGAAACCGCGCGGTGCATTATGGGAAACATCCCATAATGCACCGTGTTGACGCGCTCGTTGCCTTATGTGACGTTTCCCATAATGCACCGCGCGGGAGGCAGGACGAGCTAGGAAGGGAGGGTGGGGGGGGAGGAGACGGGGGGGAGGTGGGGAGGAGGGAGCAGGAGGGAGGGTGCGGAGGATAGAGAGGAGGAGGGAGGAGGAGCAGTAGGGAGGAGGAGGAGGGAGAAGGAAGAGGGAGGAGAAAGAGGGAGGAGAACGAGGGAGGAGCAGGAGGGGAGGAGGACAGAGAAGGAGGAGGAGGAAGACGGGGAGGAGGCGAGGAGCACGGTAGGAGTATATGAGGAGGGAGGAGGAGAGGGTACGGATGAGGAGGAGGAGGGCATACCGTCCGCTCCGTACTCTCCTCTCCTTCCCCTCAACAGCTACGCTCTAATTCGGCAATACAGGTATAGTTGCAATCGTCTTTCTTTTTTTCAAGTACTAACGGGATAATTTTAGGTTTTTATGGTATGTCGCTGGTGTCTTCAAGAAGTACCTATTATAAGAACCCTTTTGATTTGACAGATTCGCCATCCTGGAGTAAATAACTTGTAATCCAAACTTGTAGTGACCAATTCGCGTTTATAAACATCGTCTACAAATTTCTTATCACCGTCCCTATAAAACATATGCTCAAAAAGTAACTCTAGATATTTGCGGTCAGCACCAGGCGGTGCACGGTCGGCGGCAATATTGTCCGCACGTTGACGTAGCTACAGAGCCGCCCTACACGGCACGGCCTTTATGCAGCCGTAGAAGAGGCAAATCGAATTGATGGGGTGTAGCATTCCATTCCGCCTTGCTGCGCGTGACACATTTTAGCGCCATGAACATTGGAACTCGCTCTGTGTTGCGTTAACCATCGTAAACCAAACACTTCTCACAAAGCAATTAATACATTTTTGGCTTACGAAAAGCTGGCCTATTTCAACTTTTACTTTCCCAAAAAAAAAAAAAAAACTCACACTGCAAAACAGGTGGTCGCTAGATGCAGACATTTCTCTAGGTTTCGCAGGAATTCGTAAACAAAATTTAAATATGGTATTAAAGATTTGGACCAGTTATTTCACGAAGAATGCAACAAAAATAAAATGTATAACAAACTTCTTTTAATACACTAGTTATTTACAATCAACTACAGTAAACGTTTGATATCCGTCACAGGATAGTAGGGCACATTCCAACGAATATACCTATCATAAGACAATTACCTAAAATGTATTGGCGTGAGTCCTGCGCAGTGTAACATTTTGACCTTTCCCAAGTAGCACAGTTTTTGAGCTAATTATTTTGTCATTTGTCTTACAATTTCAAAGTATAAAAGCCGGAAAAGCCAAGTTAAATTGAAACTTTACATTATTTATCCAGAATGTATATTTTTGCGCAAAATTTCTAAACAGGAGCCAGAGTTAGGCTTCACGTCCTGCTCGCTCAGTGGTCACCTGCCTCTTTTGGGCCTGAGCTTCAAAGGAAACGCAAGAATTGTTCTTTATTTTTTGTTCGGTTTTCACCCGGCAACTTTGGACCTAAATCGCCGACCAAATACCAGAATCTTTGTTCACCGTTGGTTGTCCGCCTGATTCTTCTTTTTCGCATATCTGGCACTTGGGCAATTATTTGACGACCCACAAAAAGGTCATTGCAGAGCTAAAGAAAAGTACTTTGGCATAACTATTGCGTTGGTGAAATTATAAGCCCTCAGAAGGGAAAAATGTCGGCCAAGTAAGGCGTTTCTCTGGAAAGCTCTTTTCTTGTTTTATTTCCCTTTGCCCTCGAATAGCGAGTTGACATATTCGGTATGGGGGAAAACAAATAGGCGCAGCATTAGACCCTAAAATAAATAAATAAATACAGAAAAAGCAAAAGCAATTAGTAACATGATGACTTTCCAGTGGCGTGGCGTATGAAAACCGACGTTTTACCTCGAACCGGAAGATCTGCGATTCAAGGTCACGACGACCAAATGTACAAGGTCTATGCACATTGGCCGAGCATCATCCTAATTTCTCCACAAACTTGCCTGGTCTGGCGTGCCTCCCGTCTTGTTCATCGATACCAACGCGCTGCTTCGCACTTTTGTCTTCGATATTGATGAGTGAACATGCAGCAATCGCCCAGATAATGACTCTGTAACAGCGAACACAGAACAAAAATGTTTAAATAACCGCATTTTTTTACTTATCTGGTGAAACGGATTAGAACTCCACATGATCTTTGACGTAAAAAACAGTCTAGCGTAAGGTGTACGTCCCAGTTGGGGCGTGGTGTTCAAGTGTGTACGCGTTTTATAGCGTCACTGAGCTGCCGTGGTCAAAAGAAGAAACAGTTGCTGAGAAATGTGGCCTAGAAGCTGAACAATTCTAGCTATCACGAACATTGATGTTTCTAACGTTAACGCCCTTCTGAAAGAAATTCATCTCATACCCACCAGGTTATCTCAAATTTCTAGATCTGCAGTCCCCAACAATTTGAAATCCCGACTGATCGAGCAGTTTTCATGCAGCTGGATGCGATTTACTTTGGCAAAAATCACAACGCTTGGGGTGAGAAAATAAAATATCCTTCGCAATACACTGTTCCTACAAATAAAGCGCCCCTTGCCAAATTAAACTTATCAGCACTACCGAAACTGTCTGGCCGAATGGGTCATTCATATTCTGAGAGACTACACCCTTCACAAATTTCTAAGCGGTCTGAGAGTTTCTTCATTGTTTTGTGATAAATCTTTGCGGTCTGAACCAATCTGTCCCGTGAATACACATGACCATTCAAAATAATTCTAAACGTTCTACGGTTGGCGAAGTCGATTATTAGATTGTGTTTCGGGTGGTCTCAACAACGTTCGCTCCACGTCGGCTTCTCGTCCTACGCGTAGGAGCGGTTCAAAACAACTCCTAAAGTGTGCGAGAACAGGAGGAGCTTACACAGCGGCTTGTTTCTTACGCCACTTAGACCACCCAACACAACGAACCCCCCACCCGGGAAAGTGGGTGGGGAGGGGGGGGGGGGGGTATCTGCTTCGAACTTAAGCGATATGACGCGAAGTGCGCCGCTATTCTCTTTACTGCACGCTCTATCTGGCGAGGCTCATGGGGCCCAGCTTTCACCTCGATAATGTTCAAGGCACCTGGCTTTCACTCCCCTATCCAAAGACCCAGGCGATCTAAGCGCCGTTAGTCCAATTGCTCTCTCTGAGGAAGCCCTATAAGATTGATGCTAAAATTCTGAACCACCGCTTAGTCAGAATCTCGATAGTATGCTTCTGTGTGTGACAGAAACGATTGAAATTGAAAATGGTACAAAACTGTTATTTTGTACAGTTTAAACAGTTCAGGCTTCTCAATGCATCACATTGGTGTACCACAATTGCGGGTAGGTAATACGCACAGGGAACGTTCATAGAAAATTAACATTCTGGTGTGCTGTTTCAGAAATAGCACGCTCAATTACACAAGGTACCCACTTTAGTTCTTGCGCCATTAGTCCTTGAAAGTACGTGTCTGTGTGCTTGAGGGGGGGGGGGGGGGGGGGCTTCCGGTAGCGTGTCAGGGGCCGTAATTTATTCCCTCACAGGCCGCTGTTGCCGACCCCTGACCTAAATTGTTATAGCCTGCGATGTTTCTCATGTACTCCGAGGCACGCAACTTTGATATTCATCAATGCCGCCCCCCAGCCGCTCCTCATGTAATTGGTTTTTGATTCCACGTCCTTTTAGTTGCATCCACCCATTTCAGAAGCATCTTTCTTTTAGTAGGAAGCCACTCGTCGTTTTCTACGTCCAACCGTGCTTCTACCATATTGCGTACCGACGTTTCTAGTACGTCCTCATTTCTCTACACTTGTCATCGGACACCGAACCCTGTTGTCGAGATTGCGACTGCTAAACGTGTCTGAAAACACTGATATCCCTCTCGGATCCCCTCCCTTCGTGTGAGTACTTGAATCGGGCAGGGACTCCCGCTGGTTCCGCTGATTACTGACGTCATGCACATCCCTCCTGAAAAACATCCCTTCCGTGAATATTCCCTTAAAAATCCGTTATTTGTATCCGCTGCTGCCGTCAGTACCATTCATAAGAAACCAATGTCCGAAATTCAAAAGCAAGTATCACATATGGCAGAATATTTTGCTGTTCCAGATGCCGTACAGGCGTATGAGTTATGAACAGGCATACGTATGTTGCTTTGTAAATGCCTAGACTGCGCAGAAGACACTCCAAATGTTTGAGATGAGCCTAAAGCTATAGCCCGCCATGACCAGTGGGCCGGGATAGAAAGCCAGTAGGGTCATTCCATGCCAAAGGAGACGGCAATTTTCGTCATATTTTGGATATGCTTGAAAAAAATAATATGAATAAAGACACATTTGAAAGTAAGGATGGCTAAGTTTGAGGGCTGAATTATGTTTAGTTTTGCTGAGGCAGGAAATTTGAGAAAAGCTCCTGTATTTCAAAAAATTGCAGAAAAAAGCTATTCTTACCACATAATTTTACCTTTGCATGCAATCAAGCATAAATATATTATATCTTACCTTGAAAGGAAAACACCTTACGCCGCCATTTTGGGTCCAGACAGGCACTCCAAACCGAAGCAAATTTTTAAGATTTCTTGATTTTTTTAGACAACTTGAAATTAAAATTTGACTAAGAAACTTTTTCTACTTATTTTTATAAACCTTATACTCGACTAGGTTGCATTAGAACAGTAAAAAATTATTCGGACAGTTTTTAATTTAATGGTGAATATGACACTTTCTTCAAAAACTGCCCTATAGAGGGTAAAAAAAAGCCATGTGGGCAACGGTGCTCGCATTTTCTGAAATAGCCGAAAGGTTAACCAACCCCCTCTGTTCAACATATAAAAAAATTAGAAAAGTACTTTTTGATATTTTGGAGAAATCATTTTTTAAATATGAGGCGGAACAACATCGCCTCCAGGTGTCCACCTCGTCGGCAACGCACGCCGTCGTCTGGTACGGTCGAGCGAAACACTGCACGGGGAACTTAATTTCGTTAATATATTTGTATAGGTAACGCTAAGATTCTTGACATTACGACATGTCGATTTATAGTGACTAGAAACGGGATATTATTTTTTTGGTCTAAACAATATATGTTTGGGTGCGATTGCAAGTTGAATAGCGACAACTCGTATACTGTTTGGGATACTTTTTATCAAAGCCGAAACAAAGCACATTTGTAGTTCATCGACATTTCTTTTTTCTTATGTACATGAATGTAATATATAGTCCAGAAATACTATGTACAGATGTCACTCAGATAAGATATCACTATACCAGAAAGGGCAGGCGAATACTCATATTTAGGGGTTTTCGATAGGAGCACCACAGAGAACATTTTTTTCATACAGGGGAGAGATATATTTTGCAAGAGGTAAACACGCAACATGCTTTTGTTGTGTTATAACCTTCGAATGGCCGTTGGCCTAAATATCCACTCTTAATGTTCTGCTTATTTTAATGTTTCACTCTCTGTATTTCAGTTGCTCTATGTATTTGCACCCCAATATCTTTTCGTTGAAAAGGAGGAAAATCACCGTTATCGCTCGGCATCGTTGACGATCTCCAGCGTTCACTATTTAATTTTTTACAAGCAAACGCAGTATGACCAAAAAGTGAAGACGCGCCGTCTGCTGACCAATTTTGATGAACTGTCTGCGTTCACAAACTCGGTTAGTAGACGACGGCTTCGTCTCCAGTCACCTGAGCACATGTAAAGTGCAATTAAAGCCTTCAAATTAGCGTGCCAAAGGAATATTATTACGTGGTGGCTAAAAAAACACCCACTTCCATCGTGCAAGAAGAGTTTTCCATGCGAATTTAAGACATCGCAGCAGACGGTTCACACCCGTGACGTTCCAGACGTGCGCAGTGTTCTAGCCTATGACATGAACTGAAAGCTAATGAAACACTGATATTCTAAATGTGATACAGCATTTCTTGACTATATTTTATATTTATCTACACAAGAAACAAAAACGTCGGTGAGCTGCAAATGTGCTTTCTTTCGGCTTTGATAAAAAGTATCCTGAACAATATTTCGAGTTGTCGCTATTCAACTTGCAAGCGCACCTGGACATATAGTTTAGAGAAAAAAATATTCAGTCTCTAGTCACTATAAATAGACGCGTCATAATGTCAAGATCCTCAGCTTTAGCTATATAAATATAATTAACGAAAGTAAGTACCCCGTGCAGTGTTTCACTCGAACGTAGCAGACGACGGCGTGCGTTCCCGACGAGGTGGGCGCCTGGAGGTGATGCCGTTCTGCCTCATAGTTAAAAAAAAAATTCTCCAAAATAAAAAAAAAGTACTTTTCCAATTTTTTGATATGTTGGACAGATGGGGTCGGTTAAACTTTTGGCTATTTCAGAAAATGCGAGCACCGTTGCCCACATGGCTTTTTTTTACCCTCTATAGGGCAGTTTTTGAAGAAAGTGTCATATTCACCATTTAATTAAAAACTGTCCGAATAATTTTTTACTGTTGTAATGCAACCTAGTCGAGTATAAGGTTTATGAAAATAAGTAGAAAAAGTTTCTTAGTCAAATTTTAATTTCAAGTTGTCTAAAAAAAATCAAGAAGTCTTAAAAAGTTGCTTCGGTTTGGAGTGCCTGTCTGGACCCAAAATGGCAGCGTAAGGTGTTTTCCTTTCAAGATAAGATAGAATACATTTGTGCTTGATTGCATACAAACATAAAATTATGTGGTAAGAATAGATTTTTTTCAGATATTTTTTGAAATACAGGAGGTTTTCTCAAATTCCCGGCAATTTGGAGCATGACGTCGGCAAAACTAAACATAATTCAGCCCTCAAACTTAGCCAATTTTACTTTCAAATGTGTCTTTATTCATATTATTTTTTTCAAGCGTATCCAAAATATGACAAAAATTGCCGCCTCCTTTGGCATGGAATGACCCAGGGGCAGCGCACAGTTGTGCCACGTGGTTTTAGACCATAGCTTCGCTCTTGATTTTTTTTTTCTTTTCCAGGGCTACAAACCCATGGCCCGGCCATTCGTTCTCAAGCCAAGGCTTAAGAATACAGCGTTCGAATCCCGCGTCTCACGTCTCACACCTCATGCGACGGGTGACGCGTTGTGTGGCAG